CTCTTTGCCTGAAGCTCATACCCACAACCTCAATCACTTTATGAACTACAGGTTGTTTGATCCCATAGGAAGCTTGGTGTTCCTTCATCACTTCCTAATAGCTCTGCTTCAGAATTGGCAAAGTCAGCAGTTATCACAAAGGTGTGAATGCCAATCATGACAAAGCCTTTATTTCCAGAACAACAAGCTCAAGTGTAATTTAGTGATTATATTGGAATAGGAGCCTTACTTGGGTCCTTTTATGACTCTTTACTTCTTTAGAAGACTTGTAAGAATTTCCTTTTGGATTTTTTAATGTAAATTTTTTTCTTTTGCTTGTGTACAAGGAATAGATATGTTTTCAAAAAATATGGGGAGAACAAAAAAGTACAGAGAAGGGGGAAAAGGCATTCAAAACTCTGCAATTTAAAAGCATCCAGTGTTAGGGTACTTGGGTGGCTCAGTTGGTTGAGCATCCAACTCTTGGTTTCATCTCAGGTCATGATCTCAGGGTCATGAGATCAAGCCCTGCATAGGGCTCTACACTCAGTACGGAGTCTGCCTGAGATTCTTTCCCTCTCCCTCTCCCTCCCCCTCTGTTCCTCCCTCTGCTCTCTCTCTCTAAAATAAATAAATAAATAAATAAATAAATAAATAAATAAAATCTTAAAAAAGCATCCAGTGTCATCGTTACAGTGTGACTCTTTATCTCTCAATTGTCCTCATTGTTAAAAATCATATAATTTTTAATTTTGTTATGACTATGTGTACTTTATTTTGGGTAAATATACTGTTCCTGAGTAGTGTCACTATTGTTTGTGTTCTAAGTCACTCCAACTGATGGGATATAATTGTATTTAAGTTGTTCCAAACTATTGGAACATAATTCTAGCATCGGTTTAGAAATAATGACTGAAAAAAAATAATGTTTGAAATCAGGATGTCAATAAGGAACCTTAGTATCACTGAATTCTAACATTTCCATATTCACCCTTTATTCTTCTTCAACATGACATATCTATGGGTAACAAATGGGTTTTTATGGGTAACAAGTGAGTTTTTTTTCTATATTTTTTTTCTTTTCCTTACTGTCTCTGATTTTTGCCCCTAGGTAGTTGACAGATGATATTCGTTGTGAAATTGTTCAATATTTCTGCACTATGGTGATGGGAACTGGGAATGCAGTGGGGATAAGCAGATATGGCTTCTAATTATATGATCCTAAGTAAGCCATTTCTCCATTCTGAGCCTCAGTTTCCTCATTTATAGAATGAGAGGCTTGGATAAGATGATCATTAAAATTCCTGATATCACTCTTGTTCCAAGATTTTCCCTTTCTCTGATAATTTTGGCATTTGGGATCTACATTAGGAAGTGGAAGGGGGGAAAGTTTTGGATCTGCAGCTACAGCTGAGTCTTGGACTCTTGCCGTGAACATACTTCTCTGAGTTCTGCTCTGTTCTCTGCTAGAATAACAGTAAGGAGCCCCTCCCTCTCCAGACAATGCATCTAGGCACACAGCTGAATTCTTTCCTCATAGTTTCTCTTTAGGGTACCAAATAAATCTTATCTTATGCCTTGCAACAAAGCAGAAGTTGATTTCTGATTTGCTAATGCTTCTTGGGTATTTCTGATCACTTATGCGTCTTGGGTAGATGTTCCTAAATCATGAACTATTATGAATCATCAAATCAAAACAAGCTTGACATCTTTAAACTACTTAAAGCACACTCTAATTATTGTAGAAAGTCTGTTGGTAAGACCAAAGCTCACAAGCTTTATAATCAGGTATACAAACTGATTATGTCAGGACTTCTTTAAACAATGGAATCTCAATTCTGGGTGTTTAAAGTCTTGATGGCTTAAAGTTCAGTGTGGGAGTTACTTGAAGAGTACAGGTACTGTATATAGTAAACACATCTATGTGACCCTGGAAAGGTCCTGGCAACTTGTTGGTCAATGTATCTAAGAACCTCTCCATGGTTCTGATCTTACAGGGCCCCTTTGCCACACTTGACACTTTTGACCTTTACCTCCCCTTTGAAGCTTTCTTCCCTGGCCTTCTCTGATGCCATGAGCTGGCTGTCTTTATTTCCTCTCCCCATTTCTCCATTTCTCTCTGAATCTTTTTCCTTCTCTACTCTCTGGTTGGGGGAATTCCCCAAAGTTTGGTCCTTAGGCCTTATTGCTCTTCTCCATGTACATTCTCCCTTGACTCATTTCTCCAATTCTCACATCTGCATTAGGATCATACCTTTCCTTATTATTGCTGTCAAGACATCTAGGCTTGCTACTCCAAGGACCTGATGAACATTTTCCTGTATAGATTCCACCATTCCTTCAAACGTAGCTGATCAAGAATGAAACTAGATCACTCCTCTCTCTTTGGAACCTTCAATGGCTCCCCATTGACCTTCATATAAAGCCTAAGCTCCTCAAGGAGGTGTACAAAGTCCTTCATGTAAAAGTCCTTCCATGCCTTCAGGGAACTCAAGTAGAAAGAAAGAGAGAGAGAAGCATGTAAGTCATGACAATGCCATGTTCAAGGTGAGATGAGAACTCACAGAGGAGGAAGAAATGATCTGTCAGAAAGTTAGGGAAAGAGCTAGGTCATTTATATCTAGGCAGCATGAGATGATGGAAAGTTTGCTTTTCCTCCACCCTCATCTGTCACTCCCTGGCTTACACGGTGCTTACTGAACTTCTCTTGGTTCCTCTATTGCTGAACTTTCCAACCTTACTGAGGTGAATGGTTTAGAGGGGTCCATGGTACTGATGCTCTGAGTCCTTGGAGTGGTTGGCCAAGGCAGCCCAGTCACTTTGCCCCAATAAGCCATAAAGTATTATCATTTCCTATATAAGCTTTTGTGTGAAAAATGGGAAGCATGCCTGAATACAATGTGTACTTCCTCCAGAAAGCCTTGCTAGACCCCCACTCAGTCTGGTTAGGTCCCCTGGTGCATGTTCCTATAGCAGCTGGGGCTTTCTCCATCACAGATGTATCCTGCACCTGGTTGGGGTGCATTCTTCACTAGGTTGTAGGTTTGCCTCTCTTACTCACCACTGCATCTCTAGTGCATGGCTCTTTTCCTGGCACATGGGAAGGGCTCAGTTAAATGTCTAAGGAAATGGTCTAGTTCATCCTTGGTGAGCAAAATAGTCTGTGTTTCTGTGAATGGTAAAGTTTTTCTCCTAAATATTTTGCTTGCCAAATTCTGGTTTTGTTCTTGATTCTCTCCCACATCTCCCCTTTCTAAATGATTGCTGGTTTTTTAAAAAATTGCTTCTTTGACGTGATGTGATGAGCACTGGGTGTTATATGCAACTAATGAATCACTGAACACTACATCAAAAACTATTGATGTCATATAAGTTGGCTAATTGAACTTAATAAAAAAATAAAAAAATGTTCAGTAGGAAAACAAAAACAAAAAAATTGCTTCTTTGAAAATGGTTCTTACACCATTTCTTCTCTTATACTTCCTCTGCAGACAGCTAAACTTGGTCCCTCCTCAATGCTGGCCTGGACTACTGTGATCACCTCCTTGCTGGTCCCTCTGTCTCTAGCCTTACCTTCATTTTGCTAAAACAGATCAATATTTGCTAAACATTTCCTAAATCTTCTCCCTCCAGGAAAGTCTAAGCTCCTTAGCTTTGCCATAGAGAACTTCTACTATATGACCTTGACTCCCCATACCGCTTTCTTTTCTACCACCTCCCTTAATCCCTCTCCCCTCCTAGTCATCATCACTGGCCAGAACTTGGACTCTCCTGCTCGCTGTGTGTGCACACCATTCTTCCACCTGCAGGGCCCATGTTCCTCTTCTGTGTCTCAGAAGCCTTGCACCCCAGCACATATCTATACCTGTGAACTTCCCATCCTGGCAGTGTACTCTTGTCCCATTACCTCAACCTTACACTTATCACTTACCATCTCCTGCCTTAGATTATTATCCCATGTTCCTTCTTTCATCCACTCAACACACACCACTGTCTACTGAGCACCATGCACTTAAAGCTGAGGATTCAGAGAATTAGACCCTGTTCCTGCCTTCAGGGAACTCAGATACAGAGATAGATGAGCAGAGAAGCTGGGCATTGCCATGCTCAAGGTGAGGTGAGAGCTCACAGAGGAGGAAGAAATGATCTGTCTGAAGAAGTTAGGGAAGGGGATGGTTCATTTGTATTTAAGCAGCATGGGGTGATGGAAAGAAGAATTATATTTTGGAATCCTGGCTTCACAATATATTACTCCCTACTTTCTATGCCTCCATTTGCCCATCAGTAAAATGGGAATAATATGTACCTTGAAGGGTCATGGTGAGGTGTGAATGAGAAAGTAAGAAGTGTCAAGTACAAGGAGGAGCCTGTGCAGTGCTCAACAAGGGTAAGCTCCTTCTGACCACAGCCCTAGTCCTACCTTCCATTCTATACAATGCCCTGTTCATACTGTTATCCTGGTGCATATCTGTTATTTGGTTGATTTACATTATCACGGATATGATGTCTGCCACAACAAAAAACAGGGCCACTGGGAACCAAGCTGTTTTAACTATTCTGGAAGGGATTTATTCCTCTTTCTGAGAACCATGGATTTGGCATTTGGCAATTTGACCTAGCAAAAGATACACAGGCAAGAGCTGTGCTTTCCCATCTTAGCAAGAAGAGCCAGGGATTGCCAAGGAGTCAGGGCCATCAAGCCAGGAGGCAAAGCAGCAACAGTGTCCCTGGACCTGCCACACCCCACTAATGAAGGCCAGGGCTTTCATGAGTCCAGCTCTTTGAAGCCACTCCATGAAGCTCTTACTTCATTGATGCACAGCATGGAAGAGGAGTCCTGACTTAGCGAGAAGCCCGAGTAAAGTCTTTTATGAGGGTTGGGACTCTTCTGGGGAAACATAACAAATCAAGGGGGAAGGACTTTTGACAACCACCAAATGAGTAAGTAAAAGAGGGCTGCCTTCCATGTCCACACCCTCTGTGGAGGGGGTATAAATGCTTCCCAGGGGAGGGAGACCCATAGCTCTGCGGCTTAGAGAACTTGGGCTCTGTGTTCAGCCGGGTGCCTTGCTCCCTCCAGCACCATGCCTTACAACTGCTGTCTGCCCAACATGAGCTGCCGCTCCACTTGCTCCTCCCGGCCCTGCGTGCCCCCCAGCTGCCACACCTGCACCCTGCCCGGGGCCTGCAACATCCCCGCCAATGTGGGCAACTGTGGCTGGTTCTGCGAGGGCTCCTTCAATGGCAGCGAGAAGGAGACCATGCAGTTCCTGAACGACCGCTTGGCCAGCTACCTGGAGAAGGTGCGCCAGCTGGAGCGGGAGAACGCGGAGCTGGAGAGCCGCATCCGGGAGTGGTGCCAGCAGCAGGTGCCCTTCGTGTGCCCCAGCTATCAGTCCTACTTCCGGACCATCGAGGAGCTCCAGCAGAAGGTGAGGGGGTGGCCACCATGCTGCCTCCAGCAGGAAGTTCTAGGGAGGGAATCTGAGATCTGATTAAGAAACAGTATGTACGAATTCTCAGCTAAAGTCTGGCTTTTCCATTTTTTTCTTGAGTGCCCATTTTATGTGAGGCTCAGGACTGTTAGGCCTGAAGATTTGCATAGTGCTGGTCTAATGTGCTGGTAGTAGCACTTTGCATAAATAAGCTGTAATTAAAAGCCGCCTCCAAATGCTTCCATGCATTGCCAAGCTCCGGATTTATTGCCCTGAGGTAAGAGAAAAGGCCTGAGCCCAAGAAGGAAGTTGAGGAAGCAGAACCTTTTGTGAAAATTGGACTATTTTCTCTCTCCCTCATCTGGACTTTTGACTACTCTGACTTCTTGTTGCTGTCTTCTTCTGGGTACCTAATTATCCTGATTATTTTCCTGACCTGGATGCCTCTGGACTTCTCCTGGTGTTCAGTGTCTAGCGAGGGCATAAAATGGTTGGCTAAAATCAGGGAGAGTAGAAACCAGCTAGGAGGAAGTGATGCCAAGCCATCCAGGATGGCGGGGAGGGCATGGCTGCTTCCCTGACCTAGCCCCTCCAGTAGCTAGTTACATATTTGTCTTCCCCAATGGACTGGAAGTTTCTTGAGGGCAGGATCTAGCATTTACTCGTTTTTGTATCTTCAGCTTCTAGAACTATACCAGATTTATGGTAGTTTGGTTTTGTTTTTAGGGAGAGAGAGGGAGCACATGGGAGCCAGGGTGGAGGGAAGCAGAGGGAGGGGGAGAGAGAGAATCTTAAGCTGGCTCTATGCTCAGTGTGGAGCTATGGCAGGTTTTTAAAAATAAATATTAGTTATTATTATCAGCCTCTTAGTATTACTTATTAGGAAAGGAAAAGATTACTTATCTACTGATGCTTTTGCTCACACATTTCTTCTTTTTTCAAATTTAATTTTTTCAAATATTTATTGAGCACCTATGGCACATGGACAGCTTTTAATAATCTTATATAAGATCCACGGATTTCTCATTCCGTTCCCTCCAGGTAAGTGAATTAGTAGGAATTGCTGTTGGTTAAAAATAACCAAGCTCATTCTAGATTGTTTTGGGTCTTCTAGATCTTGTGCAGCAAGGCAGAGAATGCCAGGCTGGTGGTGCAGATTGACAATGCCAAGCTGGCCTCAGATGACTTCAGGACCAAGTGAGTGGGCAAGCAGGGTATCCTCTCTCTTCTCTCTTTCCCTTTAGCCTGTCCTCAACACTGACAAACACCAGCAAAGCTTTTCCCTAGATGTTTTCTCCAGGTTCCACAGAGCCACTGCTCAGCAGAGCACAGAGATCTCTTCTCCAGATTCAGACCCCCTCTCCTGCTTCTCTGTAAGGTGACATCCCCCAATCTAGTGTAGAAGTCATGCCTCCCCCATGCTTTACTATGCACAGAATGCAATCAGGTGAATGTGAGACATGTATTAATTGGAAATCTCACAGTTTATGGACTTTTGTTCCCTAAATCTACTGGCTCCTTATTTATCAAAAAATAATTACCAGTGCATTTTCCTCTAGGAACTACTGCTCGGTGTTAAAAACCTAAATGAAAGAGAAGCCTGTAGAAATCACAAGCCCCAATTTCCTGTTGTGTGACAAACCAAACCACACCAAAGTCAGGGCCAGGCCTGTTCCAGTCTGGTGGTCCCTAATGCCCCTGTACCACAGGTATGAGATGGAGCTGGGCTTGCGGCAGCTGGTGGAGTCGGACATCAATGGCCTGCGCCGGATCCTGGATGAGCTGACCCTGTGCAAGGCCGACCTGGAGGCCCAGGTGGAGTCCCTGAAGGAGGAGCTTCTGTGCCTCAAGCAGAACCACGAGCAGGTGAAGTTCCCCAAAGAGCAACAGGCTCGAACTCGCCAAGGCCTGTTTCCAACTGCCATGAGGTGTGGGAGAGTTTCAACTAGCCGAGGGATCTGTCCTCCGAACAAAAAGGGATTTGTAGAGAATGAGCAATCTAAAGCCTGTGATATGAGATTAGGAGGTTTCTGCCAGAGGCAGGAATGAGAGTAAAGGAAGTTGGCAAGCCCAGGAGTGAGGAAAGGCCAGCAACCAGGCAGTGCCCACAGCCCCTTCCACTCCCAGGTCAGAGCACATGGGCTGCAGAGATCTTGTATCCCAATTCCCCATTTAGCAACTGGAGAGGCCAGGACAGCCACCCAGCAGAGAGAGCTCAGCTGGAAACAAAACCAACTCTCCTCCTTCTCCTCCAGAGCTTTCTCTGCTATTCAGTGTGGCCTGGAGGAAATGTTGAGCAAAATGCTGTCACTGCTTGGTCAGTTCATAAAGAAGACGGACATTTTGTGCAAACTTTAAATACCAGAACAGTGTAAAGGTGATAGTTAATATTAAGAGCTTATTGTGTGCCAAACGTTGTGCTAAGTGCTTTAGAACTCCAGAGGTAGTTCCCATTTTACAGATAAGAACTTAAGGTTTCTAGAAGCTTCTAGAAGCCATATAGTAAGTGGTAGAGATGGCCCTCAATTTAAGCCTGATAACTACGTACGCCCAAGTACCAAGCTGTACTGGCTCTGTGAAGAGAGTAGCAGGGAAATGAACACTTACTTCCTTCAGCAAAATCTAGGTTGATAGAACTGACAAATCACCTGTTAGATCTATTCTGTTCCAGACGGCAGATTTTGAAGTAAGCACTCTTAATTTCCTCTTCAGCCAGACTCTAACCTTTTTATTAGCCATGGTTAAGAATCAAACCTAAGAGGCTCTGTGGTGTATGAGCAAAAACACTGAACTGGGTGCTTGGGGCCCACAGTTTACATTGTGGTCTATCACAGCTCAGCTCGGAGGCCGAATCGCTGCTCTAAATGAGGGATAGCACCCCAAATATGGGGGCAGAGAGCGGTCATGGGCGTGAAAGCACTTTGCAAAGTGGAATACACAGGTTAGTCACTGATTATAGAACACAGTTATGAGAAGATCTGATGGAACAGAGCTCCTGAAAGCTTAATGATCACAAGCTGACCTGTGTTCTCTTAGAAGAGAGCATCAGAACCCTCTGTGATACTTTCCATCTTCCCCTTCCTCCCTCAGGAAGTCAACACCCTGCGCTGCCAGATTGGAGACCGCCTCAACGTGGAGGTGGACGCAGCCCCCACTGTGGACCTGAACCGTGTGCTCAACGAGACCAGGAGTCAGTATGAGGCCCTGGTGGAGACCAACCGCAGGGACGTGGAGGAATGGTTCACCACCCAGGTGGGCATCTCAGCACATGGCCACTCAGGACACTTGGCCCCTTCGGGCCCTTGAGGCAGGGTCTGACCCTGTCTTCTCCCCTGTGCTGTTTCAGACCGAGGAGCTGAACAAGCAAGTGGCGTCCAGCTCGGAGCAGCTGCAGTCCTGCCAGGCAGAGATCATCGAGCTGAGACGCACGGTCAACGCCCTGGAGATCGAGCTGCAGGCCCAGCACAACCTGGTGGGTGTTGTTCAGGGTACTGTCCACACTCTCCTGACCTCATGAAGCCTGGGACTTCTCTGGAACCCCATGGAGAAGCTCCCTGAGGAGCAGCTCTGTGACATTCTTTATCTTCCCTGCACAGAGGAACTCCCTGGAGAACACACTGACGGAGACGGAGGCACGCTACAGCTCCCAGCTGGGCCAGGTGCAGTGCATGATCAGCAACGTGGAGTCCCAGCTGGCTGAGATCAGGTGTGACCTGGAGCGGCAGAACCAGGAGTACCAGGTGCTGTTGGACGTCAAGGCCCGGCTGGAGTGCGAGATCAACACGTACCGGGGCCTGCTGGAGAGTGAGGACTGCAAGTGAGTGGAAAGCTGGTACTATTTCCCTTGGGGATGCATGAGGTTGCTGTGGGAATGAAAAGTCATCTTGATGGAAACAAATCGATAATTTCAAGCTTTTGGTTGGAGGCAGTCTGAGGAAGTGCTATATTCTTTTACAAAGTGCATTTAGTATTTTCCTATCTCTTCAGCTCATTTTCCCCTAACTGGCCCTCATGGTCTTCTGTCTGCAGGCTCCCCTGCAACCCATGCGCTACAACCAATGCATGTGACAAGCCCATTGGGCCTTGTGTCTCCAATCCTTGTGCCCAACGTGCTTGGTGCGGACCTTGCAACACCTTTATTCGCTAGAGGCCCCGGTGCCAGGAGGAGGAGAAGAGTTCCAAAGTCACATCTCAACTCTATTTCATACTTTGGTGACCACACTTTGGACAAAGGAAGAATTTCTACCAGCACCAGCTTCTAAGTGTCAACTCTGCCTTTCACTGAAATACCTGGCTTGGTTCTTTAGACTGCATAGCCTCCTTACCAGCTCGCTCTGTCTTCTGAACATATAGAGAAATCTACAGCAGGATCATGCAATATCTATTATCACAATGACACACTTGTGTAACATGTTATGCTTGAACAAACACTTATCTAAATGTGATTTCAAAATAATCACATGAAAGTAATGGATGATGGAGCTGATAGGCAGGTTATAAAGCTGTTGGGAAAAAATCTTCCTCATCACTCTTTTGGTCTTTGGAGATACAGTCAGGGTCCTTGTTAACTTCCTAATAAACTCTTATTCTGGCGCAAACATGATCATTGTCCTTCTTCATTAATTCCCAAATTGGGTGTCTTGTATCAATAAAAAATAAGTGGTGTTCTTTCATCAGATGAAGGGGTCATGTGACTTCCTTCAAAGGGAAAGTCTCCACCAGACATCACCCACCTGTTGATGTGGACTTCTTGTGTGGGGAGAAGTTGGTAGCAGAAGAAAGGGCAAATCCACATGACAGGATCTACAAAACATTTTCTGTCTAGCTCTTTGGAGGGAACATACGAAAGAACCACAGAATGGGACCTCATCAGGAGCAAGTGAATCTTGAGAGTAAGGCCATACCTCTTGGCAACATGAAAATACTGTACCCTAGCAAGAACTGGAAAAAGTAGCCAACAACTATCTTCCTCAACTTCTATCTTTGTATATCGGAGAGGTTTTCTTTATCACCATCCAAATCAAGTAATGATGATGTTTGTGCCTACATATTTCATAATAACTATTAAAATATGCAGAAATACATTGTTCTCAAGTCCAGACTATCAAGTCACTATATTATAAATGATCAAACCATAATGTCGGAAGAGACTTATTTTCAATCACATTCCTCTCACCAAAGTGTTATTAATGTTGTTATTACCTTTCATATCATTTAATCATGATATTTTTGGGAGGGCAAGTGTTTATGCCTATTTAATAATAACAGCAAATATAATTGAAAAAGTTTTATAGACTACTTATTCCTAAAAATTTTATTTGTAGCATAGAGTGTATGTTTATTTTATTTTTTAAATAATTTTTTATTGTTATGTTAATCACCATACATTACATCATTAGTTTTTTAAAATAATTTTTTATTGTTATGTTAATCACCATACATTACATCATTAGTTT